GTAGCTGCCCATCATTCTGGGTTGTTACCTTTGGTTTTATGTTATTCTACTCAGAGTACCAAGATCAGCCCACTAGTATAATAGAGCCTTGCAAACAGTCACTGACCCAGGAAACAATTTATGTCAGCCAAGTATAAAAACGCCAGTATATTGGAATATTTAAGGTTTGGGAACTGGCAGCTGTTCCAGTCTTGTCAAAGTAATTGAATATAGAAAACTTTCTTTATAAAGTTGTGTCCCATTGCTAGACAGGTGGGAGACACATGTCACTTATAGCACTTAAAAGAAATACACTAGCTACGCCTGGTTTTCAGATCTGGGAGTCAGGTTGCCTGTTTCAAGAGACTCATCAGAATTTGTTGGGCCAAGAAAACAGCCTCCTAGGAAGTACCCAAGTTAATTTTCTATAATACTAAGTGGCCCTCTTGCCCAGGTTCTCTCACTTAGAATTAAATATTTACTTTCCCTACAAGCCATATGCTTTGTGCCCAATAGTGATTTTTGTGTGTTTGGTTTGTCATTTTGATGCTATTGTTATTAAGGAAGAATCTCTCCAGGGCAGGGCCACTATCTGTGTGCCCACCCTCCTTTCTTTTTCTTGGTATGCAATTTACAATGTACCCAAAGAGTTGGGAGTGTTTTCTAAAGGTGAGATATCTCATTAGTTTGAAGAGCATGAACTGCTACTAGTCACTGTTTTTGACATATAGAATGGGCAATTTCATATAGTTCAACATATTAATATGCCTAAATGATCCAAGGAACAGAGTTGAATGTTTAGAGAATACTATCTCTAGACTAACACTGTCCAAGAGAACTTCTTGCGATGATGGAAATGATCTAAATCTCCACTGACCAAACACGTAGCTACTGAGCACTTGAAATGTGGGTAGCATGGCTAAGAATTTTAAATTTTATTTAACGTTAAGTTTAAATAGCTCTTTGTAGGTGCCATATTGGACAACACAGTTTTCTAGATGGAAGCTTCTTCAGGCAAGAACTAGGTCTCACAACTTTGTATTTATAGTGTTTGAAGGCCCAGCACACATGAGATGCTTGAGAAAGAAATGAAAAGTGCCCTCTTGCATTACCACATATTCAATTTAGTCCCCAACTTCCTTCCAGTGAAGCTCTTAAGAGCCTCATGCTCTACAGACTGAGCTAGCTGGGCACCTGAAGCTCTTAATTTAGATCTTTCTAGTTCCATGTCCTCCCTTGAGTAGTTACTATCCCAGCAAGTATGGAATTATATGGACCTATAGGTAAACATTATTAAGGCTGTGCCCACATCAATCAGCAACTGGGCAGTGGGAAATGGCCTGACAAGCACCTGACCAGCTGAGTCTCCATGTTCTCATCCACAGAATGGGGACAACCATACCTACTCTACAGAATGGGGTTGCTGCAAGACCTAGATGTATGTCAAAGTTGTGGAATCTAATTCTAAACAGTAAACCTTTAAAACCAAGTCGGGCTCAGCTTTATTTGTTCAATAAGACTAAGTTAATAGGTATTGTGGTGTACCTCATTTAGCCAACTTTTATTGTTTTACAGGCTAGGCCTTAACCGTTGCAGGTCCAGGATGTACAGATGAAATAGCACAGTCCTGCCTTCATAATTCTGACTGACCATTTTTTTGTCCAAATAAGATTTAGCAAACAAAAATCTGCTGTCTCAAAAGACCTGCTCAAAAAGAGTCTCAAAAAGACTCCCTGCCTATGTGTCCTTCACCTATTAGTTTAAGCTCCCAGGAATAAAAGAGCAAGAATCTGTGGTATGGTCACTTTTAAAAAGTGTCCTTGCTATATAATAACCAATATTCCAATTAAATCACTTGTATTCAACCACCTAAATGGAGTTTGGTGCTGTATAATTACTGCAGCCTGTTCACTTAGGGCTCATTTCAGCAAAGAGGAAAATTGCTCAAAGGTGACTCAATGATTTGGGATTTATTTAAACTTTCCCAACACCAAAAAATAATCATACACCAAGGTACCACTCTAACTTCTTAATCTCTTTATAGATGGTCAGAGGCAGATTCCTAACTATGAAAGAATTCTGCTATAGCATGCCGTTAGCTCTACCCATTGGACACCTTCTATTTTCAAACCCCAAGACACCATTCCTGTTCTCCTCCTGCCCTCAACAGGGCCCAGAATCCCTGCAAGCCAGGTTCAAATTGCTGTGTAAAGGGAAAACAACCTACCAGGTCTGTCCCCATCTTCTGTCCTTTACTTAAATAGAGAGGGAAGTGTTATCTCCAGGACCTTAACCAGAAGCTACTCTCTGGAAGGGAAACAGGTTGGCAGCCCATAGTTGGGCTGACCTTTGGAAAGTTCATAAAGAACTGAGACATCACCACAGTAAGCAGCAGTGTTGTAGGATGACCAAGACTTCTCTGGTGTCAAATTAACAGGAAGTTAGTTAAGACAACCAAGCACAGAGGGAAAGTATAAAGCAGGAGGCAGAGTCAGTGGAGAATACATGCTCCCCAAAAGCATAGGGATGGTGTAAAACATGCAGCTGCCCCTCCTGGGAGTGCTGGACAAAAGGCCTAGATGTCTGGACCCTCTGCAGCAGTGTTCTTGAAGAGATCTCTAGCCTGGGATGTGAGGCTAGAACTCCAGAAAGTGCCAGCCAGGTTCTGGCCTCACATCAAGAGATTCCAGCACACTAAGCAAACAGTGACATGGGAGGCTCCCAAGAGTCTTATAAGTTTCATTTCCTTGATGCTTCCTAGTCTCTGCTGACCTCCGACCCCTAGGAGGTATTGCCAAACTGCCTTCTGTTTGCACAAGGTCCTTGTTCTATCCAGCACTGGCCTGGGAGGCTGCCCAGCTCCCAATTGTGAGTGTGTTTTACTATTTCCAGGCTACAGATAAGGAAACCCAGGTTCAGAGAGGTTAAGGGACCTGTGCAGAGTGTAAGCATGGTGGCACAGGGATGGAATCCAGTTTGCAGCTGGCAGGATGGAGCCAGACCCAGGCTCCTCTTCCCTCCCGTGTCCCACAGGCCCCTAGAAACTCATCCCAACACTTGTTGACTACTGCCTACGTGTTGGGTCTTCACAAGTTTTCTCTTAAGTAGAAACATCAGCAGCTCTGATATGCACACAGGGAAGTGGAACCCGGAGTGAAACAGCTGGGTCGAGGTCACCCTCAACAGTGCTGGGGTTTCAGAAACCCCTTCCCATAACCATTTCAACATACTGACCTATCATTTATGGTCTGTAGTCTGGGGAGGGGTGCCTGAACTTCCCGGAAGCCCCAGTGGAAGCGCCGACCCCAGTCTGCCCTCCCCTGCCCCAGGGATAAGGCCGGGGCGGGCGCCAGGCCGGGTGCCAGCGCGCTTGGCCGACCGGGCCGGAGGTGCCTGCTTCCGCCCGGGCCTGGCACC